AGGAAGCCTGCTTCTCCCTCTCCCACTCCCCCTGCTTGTGTTCCCTCTCTCACTGTGTCTCTCTCTGTCAAATAAATAAAATCTTTAAAAAAAATTTTTCAAATACAACAAAAGGTTAAAGACTTGGACAATGAACATCTACCACCTCAGTGATATAATTATTGGTATTCTGCTATATTTGTTTTATCATCTATCCATCCATCTACCTACCAATCCATCTTATCTTTTTTATACATTTTCAGAGTAACCTCCCAACATCAGTACCCTTCACCCCAAAATGAGTTAGCATGCACATTAACTGAGTTCAATATGTTAGTTTTTTAAGGTAAAAGTGACATACAGTGAAACATTTAAAACTTAAGCCTACCAATTAACTTTGATAAAAGCAAAACTGTGTAAATTGGTATTTTAGTCGGCACATCATTGACTGTATTCTTTAGGAAGCTCATGATGTGACTCAGCCTCAGAAAATATGTCAGACCTGGAAATATTTCAAACTTTTAAGTATACATATATAAACAGCACTTAAAAATCTTTAGAGTAGAAAAGATAAACCAAGAAATGGACCTATAGTTCATTTCTTTTTAGAGCTGAATACTCCATTGTTTGGATATACCATTATTTACCCATTCACCTACTGAAGCACATTCTAATCACTTCCAAGTTTTCACAGTTATGAATAAAGGTGCTATAAACATGTGTGCAAAAAAAAAAAAAAGGCAAAACTGTGTAACCCAAAGCCCTGTTCAATATACAGAACATTTCCATCAGTTCAGCAAGTTCTCCCTTTCCCAGAGACAAACAACTCTTTTCCACCACAGATTAACTTTGGCTATTTGAGCACTTCACATGGAAGACATCCTACAGCACTGTTCTGTGTGAGGCTTCATTCAACAGCAAGTGTTTCTCAGATTCATCCATGTTGGTTCATGTATTAGCTTATTTCTTCTTAATGATGAATAAGTATTTCATTGTAAAAATATACCATAATTTCTTTATTCATTTTCCCATTGGTGAATAATAGGGTTGTTTTCAGTTTTGGCAATTAAGTATAAAGCTATTATAAATACTATGTACAAGTCTTTTGGGGGGGACACAGGCTTTGATTTCTCTTGGAAAATAAGAGTATAATCCTGGGTCAAGGGGTTAAATATATAATTACTTTATAAGAAAGAGAACATTTTTCAAAGTAGTTGTACCATTTTATACTTGCATCAAAAATGTATGAGTTTACATTTGTGCTTTGTGCTATTAATCACTCACATATCTGCATTTGCAAACTGTTCAGATCTTTTTGCAATTTTTTTTAATGGAGTTGTCTGGCTTTCTGTAATTATAAAATGTTCTTTATGTATTC